CTGCTCTGTGTGTGACGGGGTAGAGCCATAACCTCCCCATCAGCCCTGCCCTGAGTGTGACAGTGGTGGCGCCCCAACCCCCTGATCGGCCCTGCTCTGTGGGTGATAGAGGGTGGTGCCCCAACCCCCCTATCGGCCCTACTCTGTGAGTGACAGGGGGGAGCTCCTCAACCCCCTGATGGGCCCTGCTCTGTGTGTGACAGGGTACGAAGCCCCAACCCCCCTGATGGGCCCTGCTCTGTTCATGACAGGGGGCAGCGCCCCAACCCTCTGATCCGCCCTGCTCTGTGTGTGACAGAGGGCGGTGCCCCAACTCCCCTATCGGCCCTACTCTGTGCGTGACAGGGGGCAACGCCCCAACCCCCTGATCGGCCCTACTCTGTGCTTGACAGGGGGTGGTGCCGCAACTTCCCTATCGACCCTGCCTTGAGTGTGACAGAGGGTGGTGCCCCAACCCCCCAATCGGCTCTACCCTGAGCATGACTAGGGGTGGCATCGCAACCTCCCGATCCGCCCTGCTCTGTGCATGACAGGGGGCAGCGCCCCAACTCCCCAATCGGCCCTGCTCTGAGCCCAACCAGGGGCTGCACCTAGGGATTGGGCCTGCCCTCTGCCACCCGGGAGCAGGCCTAAGCCAGCAGGTCATTATCTCCTGAGGGGTCCCAGACTGCGAGAGGGCACAGGATGGGCTGAGGGACCCCCTTTCCCCCCCACCAAGTGCACAAATTTTTGTGCACCGGGCCTCTAGTATATATATATAAAGAAAGAAAGAAAATACTTTCCCTATTTCCATGGCAGGGAAGATAATCAATCAAATAAACCCAAATGGAAGGAACAACTGCTAACGACTAGGCAGCTCTATTTCATAGTGTCAGGGTCATGAAAGACAAAGAAAGGCCAAGAAACAGTCCTCCCCTGATTAAAGGAGAGGAAAGAGACAGGGTAACCAAAAGCTGCTCTGTGGCTCTGACATTATTGGGACTTTGGCAAAGATTGGCTGTTCAATCCCTCATGCAGGGTTATATCAGAAAAGCTTGGTCTCAGGAGATGCATACTGAAATATGTAGGAGGATGTGTTGTGATGTAATATCTGCAACTTAATCTCAAAAGATTCACAAGGTAATTAATCATGACATGTAGCTACCCACAGAGAGAGAAAATGTGATAAAATGTTAACACGATGAATCTAGGATAAATATATGTGATATGGCATGTATTCGTCTCACAACTTTATTTAGGTTTGAAAATTCCAAAAAAAAAAAAAAAAAGATTTTTAAATTTCTTGAAAGGTTAAAGTCGGTGGGGCTTGGGGCAGGGCTAAAATAAGCCACCCACAGACAGTGGATTTTTCAAAAAAAATTTTAATTTATTTAAGGTAAAGGGGTTGGGGGATGGGGAGAACCAAAGGGAAGGGCTACACAGCACTGAGCCAAAGGGCCTTGGGTCCAGGGTGGCACCAAAAACGTACTTAGGACAGTGACACAAGGAGGGGCATAAAAGAAGCAACAGGAGAGCCTAGGCTGGGCTGCCTCGGCTCACTGGGAAGTCAGAGAAAAGGGGACCTTGGGGAGAGGTTCACAGGGTTAGCCCAGGATGAGCTGCCACTGCCCATTGCTCCCCTGGTAGCAAGTCTCATGGGGTCCCTTAGAGGTTAGGGGTATGTGCCGGGGGGGGGGGGCGGGGAGAAGAGAGGACAGGGAATGGCACTGGTGTGCTCCTTGGAGGGAGAGCACGCACTGGGTCCTTTGTCCTGAGCATGTTTATCTCTCTCTTGCAGGTGGAAATTTGGGGGGAGGACTTCATAGAATATTCATCAGCTTTCCAGGTGTGCTTCAGGGTTGTGGTCTCCACTGATTGGTCAGTGCCAGGACAGCAGGTCATTAGTCAATGTAACTGGTCCTGAGGCAGGCAAGGTGTCACTCATCTGGTTTTGCTGCTTTTCTGGGCCTGGAGCTGAAATACAACTGAGGCCTGGATGTTATGTTTAGGGAGAAAAAGGTCAGGGGGTCTAAACCCCCTGATCAGCGATATGAAACATCAGAGGTCCAAATTGCATGACCAGTGATATGCTAGGGGAGGATAGGTTACCCTGGGGTGAGGTTCTTGTTTTCCCAGTTTTGCCCCTTGCTAGGCATCTGGGGCTTTCTGCCCTGGTGAGTTTCTGTGCCTGGCCCATCGTCCTTGCTCTGCTCATGTCTATCTAACAGTTTTTTAGAGTCTCTGAGGCTGAGAAGACAAAGGAGCCCTTCCTACTATTTCAAAATTTAAAATAAAATCAAAACTAAAACCAAAATAAGAGGAAGGAGGCCCAACCGGGTTGTAAATTTCCCCCATGACTATTGGGCAACACTTTTTAGGAAATACTAAAAACAACGTTCTTTCAAAAAAGGTGTTTCCTCATTAGTATGACCTGCCTTTGCCCCTTCTAGCGATGGTGTCTAGAGTGCTGGCCCCCAATTAGTGTACGAGGGCACAAAGGCTGGGAAGGGAAGCTGGTTCGCACAAGGCCCTGAGCAGCAGGCAGGGTTGGACCTGGTTGGTTGACTGACGTGAGTGGCTGCGTGTGGTTTGTAAGAAGGCATCCAGGCGGGCAAAAGAGCTGAGCAGAGCACAGTGTGTGTGTGTGTGTGTGTGTGTGTGTGTGTGTGTGTGTGTGTGTGAGAGATGAGAACAGTCCCTGGAATGACAGGCTTGTGCGGGAAGCGTGGACCATCCCTGTGGCTAAACATGGCAGGGCTGGTCCCAAAGGTCGCCCGTCAGGCAGGTGAGGAGCCTGAACTTGTCCTTTTGCTGGACAAGGGGCCCTTGCAGAGGACAAACGGGCCAGGGTAGGAAAGGTGGGGGAAGGGAACACCCGGCCTAGGCAGCTTGTCAGGACCCAGCTCCCACCGCAGGAGGAGGGGGGCTGTGGGTCCTCTTGTTCTCCTTACCCAGAAACCCAACAAACTCGGGTCAAAGGTGAGATATGATGGAATTAGAGGTGGACGTGGCTCATGCCTCAAAATGCACGTGGACTTTGCTGCTGACCCCACAGGAATGGTGGATCATGTGAGACCATCAGACTCCTCGGCTCCAAAACCTGGGCAGTCTCTCCTTGTCCCGTGGGGCAGAGCCCAGACTCCTCAGCTGGGCAGGCCAATCCGTATCAAATTCCCAGCCACCTGAGCTCCCACCAAGCTGTCCCAGCCCCCACTCCAAGCCCTTGCCGCAGCCACTTTGCACTCTTCGACAGCCCCATCCCCACAAAACATCCCGAATGCACAGCCCGGAGTGAATACCCCCTCCACCAAATTCCCATGGCTTTAGGGTCTTCAGACATGCAGCAAAATGCTGCTGTGAAGGGTGACATTATAAGCCCCCCGCAGCATTATAAGCACCCGAAAGCAGGGGAGGGGTGGGATGTAATGCCCTGTATGATCTTTTAATGCTGCTGACCTTCTGTTCCTCGGGAAATAGTAATCAAATTGCCAGTCGTCCCAAAGGAAAGATGTCATCCCGCCCCCCCTTAACACCAGACTGGGATGGAGTAAGGGCTCCAGAAAAGGCCAGAGGAGATGGGTGTGTCCCGGGACAGTGCAAAGGGAAGCAGAAGCCAGTG